CCGTTTGCGTTCGATCCCCGAGGTTTTTTAGTGGGTTCGAGTCCCACACTACCCTGATCTTTTTTCTGGGATATGGTGATCCCTCAGAAGGGATCAGGGTGTGCGGGGGCATTTTTCCTCGTAAAAAAAAAAAAAAAAAAAATTGCGTTTGTTTTATTTACGTGTAAAGTCAGTATAAGTATATGTGTTGCAGCAGAAGCATATGTGCAATACGTGCATGCATTTTATGCACGATTGTGGTTGATGTAGTAGGTTTTAGTCGGTCGTGCACTATTCGCATGCGTGCATAAGTAGTACATATACGTACGCTCATGTGTATTTGCGCATTCGTTTTATTGTGTGCGTGAAAGAAGTATCTAATTTAAGAGCAGTTTACTTCGGTTTTATAGATCGGATATGTTACGTGACATATCAGTCACCTAGTCATGATGATAAGTTTTGTCTGTTCGCTTTCTTTGTAACGGTCGATTTTACAAATTTTGAAATATCGAGCATACAAGTTTAATAAATTTCGTGGTTTGAAAGATAGTGATATATATGTAATAAAGATACACACACTGGAAATGCAAGGTGAAGTAATATAAATGTTGTTTTACAATAAGATTTTATAACAGTTAGTCTCAAAGTTGTCATTGAAAAAGTAAAAAAGAAATAGGAAAGTTATTATGTTTGGTGATTGTAAAATTAAAGTTTTGAACATTATGTTATATCGATAAAAAATGATTGTACCTAACGTATTAGTTAGTTTGTGAAAGCCACTTGTTCTCGATGTTTCAAATTCTATTAAAGCAACAGTTTTGTTTCTCCTTTGTGCGTCAAAATTGACGCTTGAATTGCGCCAGAAATTGCAAAGCTTTAGAATATCGTCATTATTTTGCGAAAGATAATAGACCTTAACTTTGTTTATTATCTTTAATGTTTAGTATATTATCTATTTTTTAAATATTTGTTATGTTATCTATTTTTTGTCGTGTTTATTATATTATCTATATCTTTTCGTGTTTATTTATTTTTTTTTTGAGTTTTATGATTTTGTATTTCAGCAGAGAGAAGACTGCGGAGAGCGGCTAGGGTGTCGATTTGACACTTGGACTCGTGCACAAAGTAGCGCTGAAAGTAGCGGCTGGAAATCGTAAAAAACAACAATGGCATGGCCGCTCTCAGTCTTCTCTCTGCTTTTGTGGTCTACTATCTATGTAGTTTATGTTGTCAAAGCCTTAACGCGATTCGACATCTCGAAATATCGAAGTATCGAAAGTAACGAGCAATCGTGGAGCAGAATAAAACTTCGTCTCTTTGGCCTGGTTTATGCGGGCCTAAAATTTTAATATTTCTGTTTATTAACGGAAGCATAACAGAATATAACAGAAGCATTGAAATCATATAGTTGAACTGTACCAAATTCCGGCATAAATTAACAGTTATTACCCGCATAAACAAGGCCAAAACAAGGCCTTATTTGCCCGCATAAACCAGGCCTTTCTTTGCAAATATGAATTAGAATAATAAAAATCAACCAGTATGATCGGTTCAGCGAAAATGAACTGTAGTCAACTGGTATGATCGGTTCAACGAAAATGAACAAATCAAATATGTGACCTTTTAACCAGTTAAATAATGGGTGCGTTCAGACAACTCAACAGTTGCACAACAGTTGAGAGATAATCACTTCGGATTGGATCATACTTTTGGAACCTCATCATTTGAAGAACAGTCCTATCATAAGTGATGATCTCTCAACCGTCGAGTTGTCTGAACGCACCCATTGGCTCCAGTGTTCGCACAGGCTGTAACATACGTTCCAAAATCCCACCTTGATTACCAAAATGCCATATTTCAATGTCACGTGTGCTATAGTTTTTTGTTACCAAGACAGAGAGGATTTTGAAACGTAGAGGTAGAACGTTCTCCAGGTAGAGAACTCGCTAGAGAGCGACAAGAGGTCTGTTTTTTTTTTTTTACCTGAACCATAGACGTATAATATATAGACTGCGCGTTTGGCTGAAAAGATGTCTTCTTCAACGTTGAGAGAGACAACATACTTTGAATAGTAACTCTTTCTCTGTCTATCATTTACCCCACTACTTCGCTAGACAAAGATGAGGCTACTATTCAACACCAGCTGTCTCTCTCTCTCCGCGTTGAATACATTTTCTTAACATGGCAAAGGTAGGGAACGCGCAGTCTATATATATGTCTGTTCGTTTTACCTGAACTGGCCGCTCTAGGTCAGAGTTTATCCTTCTTTTTCCAACGTAGAGTAAAGAAGATAAACTCTGACCTAGAGCGGCCAGTTCAAGTAAAACGAACAGACATATTATACGTCTATGACCTGAACTGGCTAAACACTAGTTCAGAGTTTATCTTTCTTCTTTCAATGTAGAGTGAAAGAGATGAACTCTGCAGCCAGTTCAGGTCAAAAGCACAGACCTCAATGTCTATTGCTCTTAACAAGGCTCTTCTAAGAGGCTCTTTATTATTATGTTTAATTACACGTTCGCAGAGCTGCTGATGTATTTCTACGTTATTTTAAAACAGATTTTTATTGATTTTTCTGGAAGCGAATATCATCAAAATATAGATTCGATTGCATCATCGTTGCAAACTATGCAAACTGCCGTATCTACCGTATACGTGATATGCGGCTTTAGCAAACCGTATTGTATGTGGCGCTACTCACGCTGGTAACGATTTTAATATACACGTCGAGCTTTCTCTCTTAGTTTCCAAGTTAGCAGTTTGCTGTTGATTGTGCGCCGAGATCGTTTTCAGATCGTTGATCGCGTGCGTGCGACGATCGGTGGCGATCGGCGGTGCGCGTCGTTGTCGTGTCCATCGAAGAAGGAAGCGGTCAGAGGAAGTCACTACCACGGGATCGAGCGACATGGGTGGCGGGAATGATAATGGGCAGACGAGCGGAGACCGATGCGAAGGTGGACGCCACTATTAGCGAGCTGACAGTGCTCATCGTACCGGACAGGGAAGCGGAGGCGCAGGTAGAGAACTTATGCGACGAGAGGTGCGCGACGACGAAGAGGACGACGACGACGATGGAGTCGCGGCACACGCGCAGGGCACGGCTACGTAGCATTGTCGCGGTATGCCTGTGTCTGGCGCTCACCGGAATCGTCTACCTGGGCTACTTCTGTCCGGATCACGTGTGCGCCCTGACCAGCCGCGAGATCAAGGAGTCCGTGAGGGTGTCCGAGGGTCTTGCCGGACCTCTAGCCGCAGCACTGTCTTCCGTTTCGGTCGAACTCGACAAGAACGGCCTGCTCTCGGTGCATCCTGCCTTCAAGCTGCAGAGCATCCAGGGTAGTCTGGGTTACGATGACATTTTCGCCAACGACACCTTCCAGTTTGACATCAACGCTCACGACGTCATGGTTTTCTTGCACATACAGAAGACTGGTCAGTACGAGGGGAGAAAGTTGCCCTCCCCCCCCGCGTCATTCTGAATCGTTCGCGAATTAGGGAAACGATTGTCTTGGCTTTTCCCTCGAAAGATTTTATTTTCAAAATTTGCTAGGGCTACGTAAATTCACAAATCGATCTGCATTTTTCAATTCATGATCAACCAAGTAAACAAATTGTTTTTTTTTTTTTTTTTTATGAGAGAAGTCAATTCGTAAAATTAATAAAATTATAATTTACATGTACCGAAGTGTTTTCCTCAAATACGCATTAATCCGAGACGTTAGGCTCTTAAACGAGAATAAAATAACAATGCTATTTCCCTTCCAAACCCCAATGTATGTACTCGAATTATTGCATTATTCATCAGATGCGCTCAAATCCCCAGGAGTTCTGTCTTAGAAAGAAAGAAAGAAAGAGAATAATTCAGGGATGCAAGTTATTTAGTATGCTGTGTGTCCGCATCCTCTTCGCCTTTTTTTTTTCTCCTTCATGTATTCATACATTTTCCTTTGGCGAAAGTGCGTGTTGTTGTAATATCATCTTGGTCGCAAAAGTTTTAATAAAAGAAATTTAAAAATTAAAATTACACACTAAAAATTATACACAATTACATATTTTTTAATTGACGTAACTTGCTGCAAAAATTTGCAAAATGTATTAACAAAAATGTTGTGAACTTGTGTGTAAATATTTTTCTTGTTTCTTGTTGAAAGGTGGGACGCTGTTCGGGAAGCATCTGGTTCGGGACCTGGACTTGCAAAGACCGTGTTCGTGTCAACGACGACGCAAACGTTGCTTCTGTTTCCGTCCAAATCGTAATGAAAATTGGCTATTCTCGCGGTACTCGACTGGCTGGAAGTGCGGTCTGCACGCAGACTGGACCGAATTAACGAGTTGCGTGGACACCGAGCTGAACAAAATCGAAGGTGACGGTATCAAGCGCCGTTACTTTTACATAACTATCATAAGGGATCCCGTCGCGAGATATCTCTCCGAGTTCAAGCACGTGCAAAGAGGCGCTACGTGGAGAGGTGCTCGTCACTGGTGCGGCGGTACTCAGGCGAATCTGCCTCAGTGTTACAACGGTCCCAGTTGGCAAGGCGTCACCTTGGAACAAGTAAGTCTTGGTGTTTTTATGAAAATTAATCGACCATAAAAACACTGTATCTTACGTTTAGTTAATTGAGCTCATTATATGTCTGATAATTTTTTTTTTTTGAGATATAAATTGTGGCACAGCTGTTTATCTGTGTGGTATTATTCTCTGTCTAGAAACACATTAAGATAAGAAGAAATTTTCCTTATCTTAAAACCGGATTTTGTTTTCAAACGCTTCTTCCTGTTCGATAATTTTGTCGTGCTCTTACTTTCACAATAAATTCATTGTGCTTGTAAGATGTTATTACGAAGAGCGGACCAGCGAGAGAAAGAGAGAAAGAAATATATTTGCACCGATTAGAGGACAGAAAGAAATCTGGAAATAACAATGCGATTGTTATATCTGTGCAGTTTATGGCGTGCCCTTATAATCTGGCGAGCAATCGTCAGACCAGAATGTTGGCGGATTTATCGATAGTTGGCTGTTACAACTCCACTCTGAGCAGTGCCGATAGAGATCGTTTAATGCTGGCCAGTGCCAAGCACAATTTGCAATACATGCCTTTCTTCATGTTGACTGAATATCAGAAGGTACGCGACATACATTTGAAGACTTAATGAATTATAGTTTTATTTATATGTTTTTTATATTTTTAACTATTATGAAATTGTTACACACTAGAGAGACCAGTTAAAAAAATTTAGTAGTACAAACCACATTTTTTATAAATTTCAAACTATTCATAGTTGTTGCTCTTATACATCACGTTCATGGTCTAACTGCTTAAGAATAGACGTTTAAACGTAAATATTTATACGAGTTCCCCTTAACACGTGATACATAAGCAGATGGTTTCTTCTATAAATTATCCGCTGTTCTCTCGATTTCTTATTATATATTTTTATGTCAACTATTTTTTAAATATTTTTCTTACGTTTTTTCGCTCAAAAAATATTAAGAAACAACTTCCTTTGTGTGCAATTTGTTTTATATTTTATATAGTTTTTCTATCAGTTTTTGTATTACATAAATAATACACGTATATGAATGTGATACGCGGATGAGTGTAAAAAAAAAATGAGTTTTTCAAACGAAGCAGAGCATTTTATACAAGTTTTCAACAACGTAACAGTTTGTTTCTTATTGTAATGACATGTAAATTTCTTGATGTGCATCATAGATAATGAGCTTTTTTTTATCATTGTGACTTGTGACACTACTTTGCAAGTTGTTTGCCTTGATCTTTACATTTAATATCTCTACAATTAATCATATATTCAAGAAACAGTTTATTGTACTATAAAGTTGACTAAAAAACACATAAATACATACGCAATATATCGTCACTCCCTACGTATAATCCCGTAACTCCAAAACGCAAATTTTTAGAGGATAGCAGTTTAAAAGTTTAAAGCTTCATATAGTTTCTCTAGTTAATGGATTTTTCGGTTTTAAATTTTTATCTTACTTATGAATATTTTTTTTTTTTCATATTTGGTGACCATAAAGAACATGACTTTCTGAATGTCACTATGCAATAAACTGAAAATCCCGTGTGTGTGACATTTATGTAATTACACGTAGGAAGTGACGATATACGAGCGTGAAAGAGAAAGTTAAAGAGAAAAAAAACATTTAGTTAATGATATTATGATTTGTGTATCTCTTTCTATAGCGAAGATATATATTTTTCATAAATTAAATTACACACAATCAGGTGGGGCAATACACGTTCGAAGAAACGTTCGGGATGCGATTTGCGATTGCCTTCGAGCAACACAACGCGACACTCAGCGCGGTTACGATGGCGACTCTTAGCCCGGAACAATTGGAGGCTGTACGCAGGCTCAACAATCTGGACCTCGAGCTCTACGAGTTCGCGAAGAATCTCGCCTTTCAGCGGTTTAAACGGCTTAGAGATCGTGATCCATATTTCGTACAACGATTTCAACACCTCGGTGAACTGCCGTCGAGACAGAGCGCCACAGAGTTCAATTGGGATTCCGTAATTGAGGATACCACGGATAACGATTAACGAGTGTGAGTAACACACATTATTAAAAAACAAAAATAATTAAATTCTATTGAAACTCTCAACTCGTTCGACGCCAAACAAAAACAACATTCTGGATTTCAAGCATCCTCAAGGAAGTGCCCCATTTTAAATGCTTTGAATCGCTACGCAGCTATTTGTGCAAAGTGTAAAACGCAAGTATACCAGATGTGTATACTTGAATAAGACCAAAGAAAAACTCCGAGGACGGTATGTCCAAGTATACTAGGAATGACGTATAGAATTCCGTCAACAAAGTTAAAACTCGCTATGCGCGCAATAGTCACAGAAAAATGACTCGTGAAAATAATCTCAAGGTTCTTCCATAAACAGCTAACATTCTTTAACAAGTATCTTTGTTTATAATTATACAAACAGTCGCGTTTTTACACAATCGCTAAGTTTTTATAATACACATCACTCTAAATCATAAACGTCATAATCGCCAACTTATGAGTTTCGGATTAAATACGTACGTTTAAGTCGCTTAGATGATTTTATTTATAATATATTCTTGTGTATAGATCATTTATATAAACGTTCATTTTTTTTTTTTCATTCATAATCAAATTCGCAGCACATGGTGATCTAATTCTATTCGCATATATCTCAATTCAATGTGTACGAGGGGTGATCAAACGGTTCCCGTAATAGGGAGTCTGAGTTTCTAAGCGTAATCACGCAGCATCAAATTTTACTAGTTTAAAATTTGAAACGAGTCCACAATTCTTCGCTTCTTCTTCTCACAAATGTATAATAAGTAAAAGAGTAAGTTTTTTTTCCGTTTTAATGAGCATCGCGCCGTGTTCGACGCGCTATAATTCATGACGACACGTGGGTTACACTTCCTGTATGTGTGACGACGTCGCACGATGTCTAGTTTCCGTCTGAGAGAATTAATTCCCAAGGACCTTTTTGATCGCCCTCTTGTATATCATAATATATCGCGTGTATTATACGAGGGAATACAGTAAAAACATTTACGTAATATCTAAAAGTTTCAAGATAAAATTAAAATATTCTCGTTTTTTTCGCTGTATTTACGAAGGCTCGTTTAAAAAAGTTCTAATATTATCGCGAAGTTACTGTCTCTTAAAAAAAAAAACAAACTTATAAATGTGGTTAATAAAATCTAACTTTTCGTGAGTTAACGTTAGTAGGATCTAAGTAAGTTTGATTAATATTGCAAATTAGAAGTTATTCTCTTAAATGTGATGTGAATGTATTTGGGCTCACAGAGAAATAAGCACAGATTTTTCCCAGGGTCAGTCGTAAAACACAAATTCGAACTGCGGTTCGGAAGAATTATTAAATAATAATTCTAGTATCGATTAATCTTTATTTTTTATATATCTGTTTGAGATATTTTGAATTTTTACGGTAATATCCCGGATATATAAAATAACACTAAAAAAAATGCCATTAAACTGTTGTTGCACAAAATATTTTAGCGGTATACGGAGAGAAGTTGTTTTCGATTACAAAGAGAGTAAGAAGAAAACGCGTGCGATCTCAAAAATTAGCGATACTATTATTTCTAATAAAAATTTTAAAAAACTGAGAGAAATCACGATAATAGTATCGACGATAAGATGACGTTCAGTAGATTTTGTACGCATTATACAGTTTTTTGTATTATTGTAGCACTTTAAACAAAGTGAAAACGCGTTTCTCAGAATTACTTTGTGCCGGTATAGCAGCACATTACAAACTAAGCAAAAAGAAAAAACTCCGCGTAGATTCCGAATTATTTTGTAAATATATTTCAAAGTATACAAACATATATTTTTTATTCAAATTATTTGCCGCATTGTACATGAAAAAAAAAAAAAACAAATTTGCAAGATTTGAATAAGACATTTTTGTAATTTGAATGTTAAAGTACATGCTAAAAACTAAACTATGAACAGCTGCACATGTGAAGCGACATACACGTATAAATTCTCACCCAACAAAGAATGTTCGAAAGTGAAGAGTGAAATCAACCATTTTCCATCGTTGATCTGCACGTTATTTCCAAACAGAGATTAACGGTCCTACATTTGAGAAATTTAATAATAACACAAATCACAATATATTTCCGCATTCTAGGCAATGTTAAAAAAAAAAAAAAAAAAACTTGCCCGTAAATAATTAAATTTGTAAATAATTGTATTTCGTGTAAAATGGATTTACTTTATCACTGGCCTATATAGTTAAATCAACCGGCAATACAATGCATCATCGGATGAGGTGATCGTTGTCTCTCTAGATTAAATATCAGTCATCACAACACGCTCAACACGGAAGCTGTACAAGTGCAATAAAACACGATGGGTTACCATTATAAATATCTCATGTCATCCAGTCATAAACGTAAAGCTGTAACATAAAACATTAGTTATAATAGTAGTTACGCATCTATTAATTAAAGCGTGTAGATTGCAAGAAGCTCTCTTGAAAAAACATATATTATAACGACGGTCTTTCGAATGAATACAATACTTATATATATATATATACACACATATGTATACTTCTCTACGTTACACAAGAGGAACAGAGTGCCATAAACAAATTTATGTATTTAACGCAAAATTAATCATTGAGAAAAAAAAAATAATAAGCGATGTTATATTCAGCACGTAGATACTTCGTTAATGGCAAATAATGTAAGGTAATAAAGCAAGTACACATTGTGTTTCAATCGAATGACCTATAATTAATATAAATACGTAGGCTGCGTTCTCGAGGAGCGCGCTATCAATGCTATTGCGTCATTCCATCTTTTTTGCTCGTTAGATGTAAAACAAAGATAGATGTCGTGCAATAGCGCAGACTTGCGCGCTGCTCGAACGCAGCCGTAATGTTAAGAGCGTATATATATATATATTTTACTGATATATCGACGTAGTTGTTTTGAAGCTAATATTAAGGACCAAAGATTTAATATGTTTGTAGCAAGTATTCGGAAAGCTTGCAGCACAAAACAGTTGTATAAAAAAAAAAAGAAAAAAAAAACAAGAAACTTTTTATACACATCATTAGGTAAAAGGCTCATTATTAGGTCAATGATAAGCGATGATTGTTAATTTAAGATTTTTCGTTTAGCTGTCGTTTTCGTATTAAAAACCACCGGCGCTTATCTGACTGTGATCGATTCTTAAACTTCTTATAAATAATTCTTACAAATATTCTAACTTCTTATAAATAATTCTTATATAAATGAAGCACGAGCTGAGATATTCGATTATATTGAAATACTGTAAGTACGATTCGTTTTGTTTCTCCTATTCGCAAAAAAAGCAAAATTCTTTTTTTTTTCGCGTCTCAAAAAACTAAATTGTTGAAATGTTTGACACAATTGACGATATGTAAAAAAAAAAGAGATTGCAAGTTTTCGATGGTTAAAAAAAAAAAAATAAAAAAGAATGAAGCGTTAGCTTTAATGTTGAATACAATATATTGTAGTAAGAGAGAACCTATGAAGAGAGATATTTAATAAGAACGCCATGACACTCTAGCCTAATGAAGCAAACAATAGGCCTAAAAGCCATTGGTACCTTATTTAAGCCAGTGTATATATCATACCGTACGCGTTAGTCATTTAAGAATCAATGAATCATTATGTATACAATGCATACATATACATATATATATACATATATATATACATATATATATGTATATATATTACACAAATTGTACACACACATATTTATGATTACATTTATTATTATACAATTATACAAAGATATATATATATATAATATAATATATATATATAGTATATTATTGTAAGATAGACATGTGAAATTTTGAAATAGAGCTGAATTTAATTCATCCGAATGATTACTGCTGTATATATATAAACCTTTTAATTTTAATAAACTAGAGATTCTCTCTCTCGGTTATGTAAAATTTCTCCCAACTTATTATCTCAATCTCTCTCGTTCTTTCTCCCACATCTTTTCATAGAGAATCTCTCAATCTTTTATAGAGATCAAAAAATAGATTTACATGTATTAGGCGAGTTGCTTATATTCCACGCTTCTGAATTAAAATCTATTCCTATATCATAGAATGACAAAAACTCTGTGACACCGATTCTTAACATTTATACCGTTGTTAACTCCCTGTTTATACGATTTGTATTCCTTAGCTTAAAGTTTTCAGGACTTAATTAAAATCGAAATGGACGAAGAGCGATAATTTTACCGATATACTGACCGCCTTGTTCTCGTTTTTACAACACTCTGCTAAAGTAACGACTGTTCTAACATTATTTTCTCGAAGCCCATTGGCGGCGCGTAAACGAAGTTTTCCAAAATTATATCTAAGATAGCTCCGTCGTCCACTGTAAAGTAAAATAAATGGTGAACAATGATGTCTCAGAACATTTATGTGTTAGTTAGTGACGTAAGTCTCTAGTGGAATAAAATCTATACCATATAATACTGGATACACTCGTCCTTTTATTCCCATAACTGGAGCGTTCGTGGATTTCCCATTCAAATAGAAATTCAATTCTACGTGATCGTAAGATACTCCCTGAAAAAATCGATGCCAAATAAGCATAATTATTTATTTTTTTCAAACTAGTTTATTAATTTCTGTCAACTTAATCGAGTCGCGATTGAAACATCAGCAATACGCACAATGATATCTCCTTCTTGTACGGGAGTTTGAATTTTGTGAACTTCTTGGTCGTTGTGCCTTATAATACTGTCCGAATTGAGCGCCCAACTTTCCGAATCCTTTCCACCCACAGCGACATTGAGATCCGAGTCTCTCCTGGCTAGTCCGATACCCCAAATACCACCCTGCTGTATCTTAACTTCAAAGTAACTTTTACTCTGAACAAGAGGGGCGTTCGTTAAGGCACCACCGCTTCCGCATATCCTTAGACCATTTTTTACTATGACTACCTCATTCCCTGTGCAACATAAAACAAAAATGAAATTACGAGATATTCTTTCAAGCTGTACATACATTAGTTACAAAAACAATGTATAAATATCCAGCAAACAATTTCTGACTGCGCAGACCTGGCAACAGAAACTGTGTGCAGAAACGCTACAATACACGCTTTGTGCGCCGCCAAAGCTGTTAACACACAGACACAAAAAAACGCAACGTGGTCACCAAAACCATATCCTACCGAGGACACGGATGGATATGGATTTGATGCGGCGGTTGGCGACAAAATCGCGACACCCGACAACCGAATTGTTTGCTGGCTAGATGTAAACAAACCAAGTGTTGTAAAAAAAATACATCGGCTTGTCAAAGTTCTTTTCCGAAACCAACTCTAAAAATAAAAACAGTCGAGTTTTCCAAGTATATAAAACATTTATATAGACGTTTTAGGATAGAAATATAAATACTCTAGATTGTAACACGCATTACGTCACGTCTTTTTTATTCGAGTGATTTGACACACGTGTGTCGCACAATGACAGTTATACCCATGTGAGTCGTGTCCAAGGCGATGAGGTTTTGTTCCCGCTTTGGTGCTTGAGTCGCGCCGAAGCCGAGGCCATCAAAACAGTTTCTCAGACAGCAAAACATCGTCCCTACGATAATCTCTGCGAAGTTCGACTCGGTTGTTCAGAATCACAGCGGATACAACATCGTAGCGACGACGTAAAAATAATGTTTCTCTCGTTCCTCTGTTTGCAATCAGTCGGTCACCTAATTACACCTTGCCAATGAAACACGGAGGAAACCTATAAACGACTATTGTGCAAATTTAATGTGCTGGAAAAACGCTGTTTAAATCCACGTACATATACAACAATGCCGCACAAAAATGGCTTCTAGTGTGATGTTGATCTCAACCGTGTGATTTATCTCAACGGACGACTCTTGTAGCATGACATTTCATATCTTGTAACGCACAACATGCTTTCTCACGCTACGCGACAAAATTACAAAGTTTTTGCGAAACACGTAAAAGCGCGTCTTTAAATGACGTGAGGTTTGAGGTTAGTTTAAAGATTAAATTACATTAGATTAGGTTAGGTTAGGGTTTAAGTTGATGGCGGAAAGTACACACACACACGCGCGCGGATGCGTATAAAATTCGTAAATTAACATCAAATGAACAAACTTACAAATTTGCTCGAGAATATTCTTCACAAATTGATTTCTTTGAAACTAAGGATCCTAATTTGAAATATTTTATTCCACTTAAAGTTTTTAATGCAATTAAATTAACACGTAATGCAAATTTACATAAATGATATGGGACAGGATTTTGGTTGGATATTAGCAAAAGAGGAAAGGATTTGCACAGATTTTAGATTTTAGTACCAAAAATGGTATTTCATATTATTATTTATTATATCACTATATCAACTTATTATTATACTAAAGATCCTAATTTAAAATATTTTATTCTACTTAGTTTTTAATGCAATTCAATTAACACGTAATACAAATTTACATAAATGACATGGGACAGGATTTTGACTCGATAGCAAGAGAGGAAAAAAGGAATTTGCACAGATTTGAGATTTTAGTACCAAAAATGGTATTTTATTATATTATACAGAAATAAAATTTAAATCCGACTGGGATAGAGCATCTGAAACAAATATTATTTGAATTTAGTTATCTACCTAATTGTATATTGATCTTTCTTTCTTCATGTAGTTTTGATTCAAAGATATACAAATTTATAATAAAACAGAAAGCTTATGTAGCAAAGAACATAAAACTTTAAGTCTCTTACTATTCTTATACGGTGTCCCATAGCCTTAGCTGGCAAATTTCTTTTAAATTTAGCTCTCACTGACCCACTTGCTCCATGAGGTCGAGTAACTTTACCCCAGATGGCTCTAACTTTTGTTTTCTTTGAAGTTTTCTTTCCTGGTACTGGAGTTCTATTTTTTGCCTATGACACAATTTACATAGATTATCAATATATATATATATATATAAAAGTAACACTTGTTTATGTTATAATAATTTAATCTAATCTCTTCTTTCTAATAAACTGGAAAGTGTTATGTGCGCACCTTATATACATAGACACATCGTTTTCCGATATAAAAATCAGAATCTGTTTTTGTCCTAGCTCCTTCAATTTTGAGCAGTGCCGTATGTTCATGTTGATTGCGTAACCCTCGTTTGTAACCGGTGAAGATTGCTTTTGCATAAAGACGCCCGTGTCTCTTAAAGGGCCTCTTTTTCAAGACCACCGGTGCATCTTCCGCAGCAGCACCTTCTTTCGTCTTAGGAGTTTTCGCTTTGCTCGTCATTTCCTACGAATAACGCAAGTTGTGAGTAAATTGTTGATTATATTTAACCCGCATATTTTTAACAAACCAAAAAAATTTATAAGATCGCAGATGATCGAGAGAACCGCAAAAGAAATGTTTTTTGGTTATGTTCGATTGGATATGACGTTAAAAAACATCTATTTTATCGAGACTCGTCGAAATTGTTATATTGACGAAATTCGATGATTCTTTGACGAATGCACAACCCAAAGACTTGTAGCATTTTTCAAGTTTATGCAAACAGATTGTATTATATACACTATTGTGTTGTCACATTTATCGTCGTGCCACATGAAACAAGTCGCGGTAATCCGCCAGAATCGTTCGAAATTAAATCGAGTAACAGAAAAAAATATACTTATGCAGCAACCCGAGGCGATGCGCCACAAGGTTTGCCAGTTATTTAATCGAATAATTCAACAGACAAGTCGAATTTTCGTGTCAAATATGAGATTTTCGCACCTAGGAAACGTAGCACGAACGCACCATCGACTAAAAAGAAACGGGAGATTTCACATCCCCCTGGTGGCAGAAAACCACGACAGCAGAGATCGGAACCAAGTGGTCCGAAGTCAGTATTGCCAATTTCTCAAATTCCTCTATGAGCTGCGTTCAAAAACACCACTCGTGTGCATTGTGAACAGTAGCAGAGAGAAGACTGAAAGCGACTATCCTATTGTAGTTTTTTTACTAGTGTCCGACCGAAACTAGTTTTTAGACCTGGTTTATGCGGGCCTAAGATTTTAATATTTCTGTTTATTAACAGAAGCATAACAGAATATAACAGAAGCATCCTATAGTTGAACTGTACCAATTCCGGCATAAATTAACAGTTATTACCCGCATAAACAAGGCCAAAACAAGGCCTTATTTGCCCGCATAAACCAGGCCTTACAACCGAAACCAAAACCAAAACCGAAACCGGAACCGAAACCGAAACCGAAACCGAAACCGAAACCGAAACCGGAACCGAAACCGGAACCGAAACCGAAACCGAAACCGAAACCGAAACCAGAACCGGAACCGAAACCGAAACCGAAACTTCCTTTTATGATAATTTCTTATTACATTTTTTAAATTTGAGACTATGTTTCTGTTAATTTTAGCTAACTGCGGGTGCGTATGTGTTAAAAAAACCCTTATTCGACAAACGAATAGTTTTATTGCACTTAGAAAATCAACAAAAAAAAGTATCGCAAACTTTTTTCTGTACGCGAGATGTGTACTTCACGCGGACAAAAAATCATTGATCAATGCAGTCTTTATCATCAATATCAGTACTGTATACTAATAATCACACAATTAGTATTACACAGTCTCTTTGACAGTCACAGTTTTAGTTTTATAAAAATAAATTAAAACTTGAATTTGCAAAAATCATCAACACGTCGAAACCGAAACTTCGGTCGGACACTATTTTTTTTACGACGGTTTCAGCCGCTGATTGGTCGATGGCTGATTTGACTCCGCGACCAATCCTCACTCTTCTCTCGCAGCTTTATCACAAAGTTACCACGTACGTATAGTAACTTTTCGCAGAAAGTTAGCCTGTCCGTACGTTCGGTTAAATTTTCCTAGAATCAAAAGAAGAGACGCCTATCTTGCTTGAGATAATTGAGCGATGATATAACCAAGTCGTGTCTCCAATCCAATCCGCCCCGGCTTTTGTGGAAAATTTTGGGAAATTTTGAAACGCGCCGAGACAAACGACCGGTGCGCGTAAATGTCGAGAATACACGTAGATATTTCGAGATGTCAGACGTTATGGTAAACACGTGAGATACGCGAGAGAGAGAGAACGACGATTGAAAGAAGAAAACGCGATTGTTGTGTAATTTTAAGAATAATAAAACATTTATCAACAGATTTGCTGATTCCGGGGAGTTGTGTGTGTGGTGGTCGCGCGCGCGACCCGAACGTGTCAGAACTTTATTCGAAAATTTAATCCGATGCAGTAAACGAATTGTTTGTTTTGTTTTTTTTATTTCGCACGATGATTGCTGGCGATGTACAAGGCTCGCTTAAGGAAGCCTTGTACGAGTCGTTAACCGGAATCTTGTCGCCTCAATATGAAACTCGCGTGTCCGCGGAGCAAAGGGTTCAGGCTTTGGAGGTTACTGAGGAATTCGGAATACACCTTACGGAGTTTGTAGTTGATCCCAACGGGCATTTGCCGATTAGGCAATTAGCTTCCGTATTATTGAAGCAATACGTTGAGACACATTGGTGCTCAACGGCCGAGAAGTTCCGTCCGCCAGAGCCTAACAATGCCGCTAAAGAAAGGATCAAGGAGTTATTGCCTCTCGGGCTTCGGGAGGCTATCAGTAAGGTAATTTTCATGTCAAATAAATATTATAAATTTGTTAGAAGACGAGTTCTACAAATTGCAAAGAAGATTTAGTTTCCGGCAAAAATTTGTTTTACATAAAAATATTTATGACATTTGTAACGAATAATCGATCTTATCAGCGATGCGTCATCAACTCCAGGTACGAACCGCGGTGGCCTACGCAATATCGGCTATAGCGCATTGGGATTGGCCTGAAAATTGGCCTGCTCTTTTTGACATACTTGTCAGTTGTTTGAAGGATCAGAACGAATATGCCGTTCACGGGGCGATGAGAGTTCTGACCGAGTTCAGTCGGGATCTAACAGATGCTCATCTTTACAACGTCGGACTTATTATTCTGCAAGAAATGTTCAGAATATTTCAAGATGAAAACGTGAGTCAAGCGGACGAAGTCAAATTTATAAATTTTCTCAGCGTTTCTTTGTCTGTACTGCTATTTTTATAATTTTTTTTTTTCCCCCAACAGTATTCGATCAAAATACGTGGTCGCGCGGTTGAAGTTTTTATAATTATCACAACCTTAATTAATCATACCAATTGTGAAAAGGGATTTATGGAACAGTATCTACAGCCAATCATTCCTATGTTTTGCGAGAAGTTTATCACGTATCTGAGAATATCTAACGGACCGGATAGCGATAGTGAATTTAAAACCGATATAATTAAAGCTATAAACTGTCTGGTCACAAAAATGCCCAAATATGTGTCGGATTTTTTGTCTCAAATGCTGCCGCCTATATGGGAAAATTTATGCCAGAGCGCAAAGACGTACCAAGAAACAATGGTAAATTCTGATGCGGATATCGACGATAAGGAAGTTGATTCTGATGGTACATTATACCCATAACGTGTACAGAGAGTATCGATCGCAATTTTTACCTGTTTTCTGTAAATCTCTTCCTCCTTTTTTACAGGCGAGGTAATCAATTTCAATAGTCTGATTATCGCAATATTTGAGCTCATCCAGACCATCGTGGATCGCAAAAGGTTTACAAATATATTAGATAATATGCTGGGGGAAGTTATATATTATCTAATAGTATTTATGCAAATAACACCCGAACAGATCCAACAGTGGACAAGTGTTCCAGAACAATTTGTCGAGGAGGAAGACTGTACGTTCGATTACAGTGTTCGAATATCGGCACAAGAATTTTTAATGGCAAGTAGAAATGTATAACAACAATACGCGCAAAATGCGTTGCGTTTTCGGATATGCGCGGATAATTTCTTAATTTTTGTTTTCTCGATCAATATATCTTTCGTACAGACTCTTCTTACCAATTCCGAAGACAAAACCGTTCACGCACTGTGCGACGTTGTCACAAGACATATCGAAGCGACGAAAGAAATGCGCGTTAATGGCGAGGGCGGTAACAGCAACGAGAGCTGGTGGAAAATACGAGAAGCCTCCTTACTGGCATTGAGTCTCTCGAAAAATTCCATTATCGAGAAACAGCAGGAAGGAACGTTACCGTTCGATATCGTTAGATTTCTAGACACGGTTGTTTTGGAAATGTTGAACGATTCAGGTGATTGATTGCGGCGCGAATACCAGTTTTTTTTTTTTTTTTTTACCATTTTGCATTTATTACACCAAGCATCTTTGCTGATTACTCTTACATCGTATTTATTTTAGGGTCGCCTCCGTTACTTCTTGGTCGCTGCTTATGTCTCAGTGGACGATACGCCAAAACGTTGCCGCTAGAAGTGATTTCTCGATTTCTCGAAGCGGCAGTTAACGGTTTACAAGAAAACCAACCGCTTTGCATTCGTATCTGCGCCGTTAAAGCGATCTATTGGTTCTGCGAAGCTTCGTCCGGAAAGGAGTCATTAGTTAACGTAATACGCTGCCATATGCCTAACATCTTTCACGGATTATACACTCTGGTTAGTCAACAGAACACGGACGTTCTAACTCTGGTCATGGAAACGCTTCAAATGCTAGTTTGGGTAATATATTAACGTTTTTTTCTCGCGCGCGCAGTTTTTTTACACATTGCGCCATCCATTTTTCTCTTACTTAAGTTACTTGGATGTTTTTTTTTTTTTTTTTTATTTTGTGTCGATAGCAACAGAAAGAATTTACGGCATCGATGGAAAACAAGATTTGTCCTTTGACAATTGCAGTGTTTATTAAGTATCATAGCGACCCGGCGATCTTAGATATATGTCTGGATATTTTCAAGTATTTGACGCAGAATCCGAACTGTATCGGGCCGTTGCAAACTCGTATAATACCTACTCTTACGAGTATGATGGCGATCACCATGAACAAACCACAAGATGGTAAAACGAATTCCGTCCTTTTGCACATTGCGGTACATTATAACCGATACGTTATAATGCATCGCAATATACAAATTTCGACTTATAATAATTTATAAGCAAGTATCTTATTGTCTTTTTTTATCGTCAGAGGGATCTCGAGCAGTAGCATTGGACGTGCTAAAAATTCTAGTACAGTATTCGCCGAGACCTCTCAGCAACGCTTTAATCGAGACTGCGTTTCCTTCCGCGTGCCAATGCATTCTTCACTCCGAGGACGACGGGACGTTACAGAGCGGCGGAGAAGTCGTGCGCGCCTACTTGTCCGTGGCGGCGCAGCAAGTTACCGCTTATCGAGACAGTGAGGGTCAAACCGGACTACAGTACATATTGCAAATAATCGGTCTACTTCTAAATCCGCAGGTGACATTCGCTCGAAACGTCGCTCAAGATTGGATTATTTTTTTATATTCTTTGCTAAAAATAATTACAATAATATCTATACGCGCGTTGTGTGCGTGTTATTCCTCACAGTCGAGCGAGTTCACTGCCACTTTCGTCGGACGTTTGGTCACAACCCTGATCAGACACGTGGGAAACAGTCTCGGCGAGAATCTCGATCTGTTGCTGAAAGCGGTACTGAGCAAGATGCAGACCGCCGAGTCGTCGCTCGTCATGCAGAGTTTGTTGATGATTTACGCGCATCTTATAAACACGCAGTTCGACGCCGTGTTGAACTTCTTGTCGACCGTGCCCGGCCCAACGGGACAGAGCGCCCTAGTGTTTGTGCTGTCCGAATGGGTCAACAGGCAACATTTGTTTATGGGTAAATACGATCGAAAGGTCGGAACTGTCGCGTTGTGCAACATACTGCAGTACGGAGTCACGCACGGTGATTGCAGACTGGACGAGATCACTGTTAAGGGTGATATGATCATTTCAGGTTTGTGGTTTATTTCCTTCAGAGTTAAGTTATCCCCCGCTTGACAAGGATGTTGCATTGAGCGGAAAATTATCGTATCGCAATGTGTAATTTTATGGCATCGCATATCGTTTAATTAAAAAAAAAAAAACAGAACTACTTGGTTCTACGAAAGACAACAATTTTGTTATTGTGTTCCAAAGTAGCAAGTTAAAATTCGGGAATATATAGGAATCGAAGACGGCGTGAGGACCAGGAGCAAAGCGGAGTCGCAGCCTTACGAATGGACTACGGTGCCTGTACTTGTAAAGATTTTTAAAGTAATAATCAACGAATTGTCGCATGATATTGAGGTTATCAGTGCCAGCCAAGAAGCGGAAGTGAGTGAGAACCGTTTTTGCCGTTTCTACATTCAGTTTTTTTTCGTTCTCTGTGTGTCTTATCTAAAATTAAATACGTACGTTTGACGCGTAGGTTTCCGATGACGAAGACGAGGATGAGGACGATGACGAACTGATAGATCCCGGAAACGACGTTGCAAATGTTTTACGTGAGTAAACTCTTCTCATACAAATTTTCAAGATTTTGCGTAACGTTTAATTGTCGATAAAAAAAAAAAAAAATAAAATAAAATAAAATAAACGGCGATATAAATGTGACATCTTTTTAGGATTCGACGGCATGGACGACGATAACGATGAGGATGAGGATCCGGAATTGTTGCGAGATTCAATCTATCATTTGAATCTTGGCCAATATCTGCGCGATTTTCTGTTGAACTTCTCCACTCACCATTGCTTCCGCGTATACGCCCAACACCTGAATGTGCCAGAACTAAAAATCTTAAATAGGATAAATATCAAGCTCATGTAATAGGATTATAAAATTCAAAGATGATCAAAAGTTTTCGAATATCATGATAAATAGTCTTTTTTCTACACTTCACGATGTTTTTTTTTGTTTGTTTGTTTTTTTTTTTCTTATTCCTTCGAGAAACAGTTTCTTCCGCGCTGCGCGTTTCTTTCTTGGTGAACGTATTTTTTTTTCGCCACCGGACATGGTGGCGGCGCGCGCGCCTAAAAGATAAATACGCACTTGATCAAATTTCGTCGCCACGTCGTTGCATATATTAATGTTATATTTTATTCGTGGATTTTTATTTACATTTACACACACGCGTGGAATCGTCACGTCGGCATCTACATTACAAAAAGACCGGGTATGTGAGCCGCGCGAGCGATTCTTTGCGCGTGTGCTTTATTACGTATTTGTTATTTAATATATATAATTTAGAACGTATACAACATATTTCCTACAACGGTACACTGTATCTAACATAGACGTTTTTTTTTCTCGAACGCCTCGCACACACCTTACGCAGCGGAGAAATAACGCGACAGAGTTTAACTTTTATATTATACGCGTCGCATTTGATTCACACTCCTATTCACAATTCTGTCTTCCATATACGTTATACATGTATAGAGTCGCAGAACAATTGTGTGTGTAAACACAGTAATAATAATAATAATAATACACTCGAGTGATTATCTCTTCTAGGCTGGAAAAAAAAAAAAAAAAAAAACAAGGACTCTCAAAAGTAATAGCAAATCGGCTCGATACGCGCGCGAGTTGCACGCGACGTACGTAGTTTTTTCGAGAGAGACAAATCTCGGATCGTTTCTCTTTCTCAATTGTTGCGTCTCTTCGACGCGTTTCTTCGCGCACTTTTTTCTTTTCATCGTTTTCGCGTGTTTTTCACAAAAACCTGTGTAAAAAAAATCGAGGCGCTGCTGCAAATCCCCACACGGACGAGGAGGCGGCGCCGTTTAACCGCTCGTTAAAACAATAGCGTTGTTTTCTTTTGTTTTAATCACACTATTCGATGTCCACGAAGATTCAGTTCACAGACCGGGGCGTGTACCGCTCTTCGAGTGCGCGCTCTTGAGCCGTATAATAAAACAAACTTAGCTTGTGATTCGATCGGTTTTGACAGTGAAAATCAACGTTGAGATGATAACGTTTTTTTTTTCTTTTTTTTTCTTTTTTATCGTACAAAGCGGGAAGAATATTGATACGCGTCACGTCACGATACACCGCTTTATCATACATATCTACAAACCTATAAACACCGATCTCCGTTCGCAGAATACTCCCCCCGTTTTTCTATGAACGTGTAAAACGATCTACGTAGCGTCTCTACGCAGCGTTCTCGGGAAGAGAGAGCGGGATACGCTGTATTCGTACAAGAAGAGGGTATCAAGGAGATATACAAAGTATCACGCAGAGATAACTCGGAGCGAATATATAAATTTATCGCGCGAAAGTGTTTCTTTTTCTTTTGTTTTGTTTTTTTGTTTTTTGTTTTTCTCAGAAAGTTTCCGCGAAAAAGATGTATTTTTCACGATCAGCAGTTTCTCGCTTACACTGTGGTAACCGACAGCAGACCCATTAATTTTCCCCCCGTGCCAGGACCGCTCGCTCCAACTCTGTTCCCGTGAACCAACATTTCTTGCACGGTGGTGAAATCGTCCAGAGTCGTCTTTTTACGCGCCATCTTCTTGTGACTGAGCTCAACGATACTCAACGGCTTCTTCGACACCTTGTCTTCCGTGTGTTCGCATATCAACAGGTCGTTGGTTTGCATCTGCTGCTGCTGCAGCAATAACTCCTGTTGCCGCTGCTTGCGCTCGCGCGCGCGCTCCAGTTGACGTTTGCGCTCTTCCTTGCTCCAGTAACGTCCGACCTGAACAATTAATAAAAAAAAAAAAAAAAAAAATAAAACGTTATTAATCTTTCGATATAAATGAAATACTTCGTCCACAACACAAAATCTCTTTTTTGTTCAATTTTAACAAATAACTAAAATACAAAGATGTTTTTTCGGGTTTGAACCGCGTTAGTGTCATTTTTATACCGACGTTTCGTGAACATTACAGCTCACTTCATCAGGGTTTGAAGAGCAGCCTGATACAGTATCGGGCTGCTCTTCAAACCCTGATACAGTATCAGGCTGCTCTTCAAACCCTGATGAAGTGAGCTGTAATGTTCACGAAACGTCGGTATAAAAATGACACCAACGCGGTTCAAACCCGAAAAAACATCTTTGTATGTTAATACTACACACCGCGAAAGCATCAAATATCAAATAAATAAAATACTGAAATCGGGGTACTCGCCTTCATCTCCGACAACGTGTCGTCCTCGGTTGTGTGACCGGCTCTCTCCTCTGATATCTTGATCGCTCGGTTCCGCAGTATTCGATTTCTCACGGGCCTTTTGGCGATGTATCTCGTGCCGTCCGATCTCCTCTTCACTTTCCACTCCATCTGCACCTCGCCTTTCTCCTCCGGCGGCGTCCACGTGGACATGCACACTTGCTGACTCCCGACGAACTGATACTGCGTCAAATTGGGCGCCTGAAAGTTACCGTGCGACTTGGACTTTCTCGCGCCGCCCGCCGATGTCTCTCTGTTGGTGACGAAGTTCCTGCGGTTTAGCGCCTGTTTGAACAACTGCTGCTGCAGCAACATCGTCTGTTGCAAGTTCGCAACGTTCGTGTACATGGTATCGGCCGGCAGCGTATTGGCGTTCATTGCGGGCTCGATGCGGTCTCTGTGATGATGCGACGACGACGAGCTCTTTCGAACGCTCTGATTCTTCGACAATTGTTGCCTGGTCGTTGCGGATGTCGCGCTCGGCGTTACCGGCATCGGACAGTTGCAGAACAACTTTTGTTGTTGTTGTTGTTGTTCTTCGACAATTGTTGCCTGGTCGTTGCGGATGTCGCGCTCGGCGTTACCGGCATCGGACAGTTGCAGAACAACTTTTGTTGTTGTTGTTGTTGTTGTTGCTGCTGCTGTTGCGGATGCGAGGGTGTCTTCGGCGGACACAGAACCAGCGTGCTCTTGTGATGATCTCTCTCGCCTTGATGAAGCTCCAGAGTCAGTGGATTGCTGTGACATGATTCCCCGGTGTTGTACGCGCTCGAGCTGTCCTTCTCCTCGCCTGAACTGTTGCTCTTCGACGAGGAGTGCCACTTTTGATTCGGCTGGCTGGTCAGATGATTCTGCGTGTTGCCGTGCTGCTGCAGCTGCGTAGCGACGTGGTTCGACTGTTGCCAGTGCTGATGATGTTCGTACGGCGACGAGTAGATCGGCTCGCTGTCCGATTCCGGTATCGTCTCGTAGATGTGCTCGGTCTCGCTCCAGACGTGGCTCGAATACGCCTCGACGAGCTTAACCGACGGCGGCACCACCGCCGCCGCCGCCGGCGACGCGGGTTGTTGTTGTCCGCGCAGAGAAATAACGTCGAGCCTTTTCGTGCAATCTTTCAGCGTGTCCTGCATCCACTGCTTGCCGCGCTCGTCTGTGTGATGAGCCGGCGAGATCGCGTTCTTGCTGGACTTCTGTGAGTTTTGCGACGAACACGTAGACGATGAGTTTGTAGAGAAAACGTTGACAGACTGTTGTTGTTGTGGTTGCTGTTGCTGTTGCTGCTGCTGTTGCTGCTGAGTGTGAGAAGGTATGGGTGGCGCAGCTTTGAGGGTGCAGTTGTTTACTTCGCTCTCTTTGGTACGCTCTTCCGTTTGCTGCTGCTGTTGACGGATCAACTGCTCGATCATGCTGTTCTGATACGCCGGCAAGTTCTCCGGTGAAAGTGGCGGCGAGCACTGAAGCGATATGAGGTTCATGGTAGATAAGCGATAAACACACACAGCGCGCATAAACATAGTGTGCGAATGTGTTTGCTCTTTTATATAATATTATATAAACTTTGACTTACTTGATGATAGATGTGCCTGTCATCGTACTCGTCGTCCTTAAATTGAAGTCGATATTAAATTAAAATCGAGAAAAAATGCGAGCGTTGCAAGTTCGATTTATAGTAACACACATGCGTAATCAAATTCTATAATTAGATCGATTTTGAATTTTTTCATGTGAAACAATTATTCGTTTAGAAAAATCACACAATTTCAACCCTCAACGGACGGCGTGTTTTTTCGGCACTTTAATTCGCCGGACATGTAGTCGTTTTCGTCCTGGGCTGTTTAAAAATATTAAATATTTTTTAAAAAATATCTGAAACACACACACAATGTGTATATACTCTTTAAACTGTGTCTATTTTAAGACACCGTCATTAAATTTGGTGAAAAAAAAAGTTTTAATTCAATAATTTTTAGCAAATATGACACAACAAGAAAATTACTTTCTTCAGAAAGTAATTTTGCTCCACAGACGAAAACGACCCGTGTCCGTCCGTTGAGAGTTAAAGAAGACGAAGAGAAAGAAATATAAGTTTTATTTTGACAAAACTAATTTTAACAATTAGTGATAAATAGAGATTACTCTCAGGCTCTATAAGTCTTTTAAACTAATAATATATGAATATAGGGACATGAAGAGCCGTTCGCGGGATGTTGTGCATGAATGTGCTTAAATATATATATATATATATTAAATAATATTAAATATATATATATATATATATTAATATTAAAATTAAATATATATATATGTATACACATATATACTTCGAAATAATTTTTTTCCATCATATAGGATGCTGGATTTGCATCACATATACATATATACGGGGTCCTTCATATATATGTGATGCAAATCCAGCATCCTATATGAAGGAAAAAAATTATTTCGAAGTATATATGTGTGTACATATATATTAATATATATATATATATATTACATATATATATATTTAATATTATTTAATATATACAATATATTTAAGCACATTCACGCACAACATCCCGCGAACGGCTCTTCGTGTCCCTATATTCATATATATTATTAGTTTAAAAAAAACTAATTTTCCTCCGATTCGATTCAAATATTGTAACACGTAAGTAAGATGAAAAAGCAAAAAACGAACCGGATATACGCATCGACTAACGAGAATTGTCACAGCGGTCTTCGTTTCCGCGAATAAGTTCTCGGTCTGTTCCTTGTTCGCAACATCCCTGCCGTTGACCTGGAACGAGAGCGAGACGAGATTCCTTTTCAGTTAATGCCTCCCAGCCCGCTTCTTGATTTCCGAAATGAGTCACTGTTCTCGCGAGAGATGTACATGCATAATGAAACGCCGGTACTCCGAATGTAAATCCGGCTTTAGAGAAGCCCCCCTTCGTACAGCTGACTCAACGTAAATTTCTCATTCTCCAGAATTTACACTTGCAATAATAATGCAGCGAGCGCGTACAAAAACACAAGGAAATAAGAAGATTTCTCCTCTTTCTCTTTCGATTTAGAAATTTCTCAAGTGCAACTTTTGTGTATTTTCTAAAACAAAACTATAATATATATCTGTAGTTTTTGACACACAAAACGAGCGAAGCGCATTTTTTTTTTTTTTTTTTATTATCTGAGAGAACGCGTACATTTGTCTTTTTTTTTTTCGTTTTTCTGTGAAACTTCGTTAATTCTTCAAAAAAAAAACAATACTCTCTCGTGTTATTCCCCGAGCAAATCTTCTGCGCGAAAATTGCATTAACCAAGCAAGAATAATTAGGTCGGTAGGAGAGACGTTAAATAACGAGTCGCCGTTAAGTCACATAAATGGGGAAACGTCTTGCGGAACTTCATCGACGGTGGAATCTAGACAGACGGCGACAAATCCATCGTACACACTCATTGTACTTCGTCTGTGATTTCCCTTCAGTTTGATAGAGAAAGAGAGAGAGAGAGAGAGAGAGAGAGAGAGAGAGAGAGAGAGAGAGAGAGANGAGAGAGAGAGAGAGAGAGAGAGAGAGAGAGAGAGAGAGAGAGAGAGCAAAGTGACAGAAGAGAAAGAGATAAAGCACACAGCTCGTAATTATAATCTGTCTAATGGGATGAGAGAAGGAGCTTAAAAGTGGAACCAGGGGATAATGAGGCGTCAACGGGAAATTCGCGAACGTAGATCTTGCAATCTCGGTCGAGACCACAATCGCGCGATCTTTGTGTGTCTTCGAAAAAAAACAAAAAAAAACGTTAATTTGTTATTAACAGTGTAAATTCTGTTGTGTACTTATCGTCACTCCCTACGTATAATCCCGTAACTCCAAAACGCAAATTTTAGAGGAGAGCAGTTTAAAAAGTTTGAAGCTTCATATAGTTCCCCTAAGTTAAGGGATCTTTCGGTTTTAAATTTTTACCATACTTATGAATATTTTTTTTTTAATACTTGGTGACCACAAAGAACATGACTTTCTGAGTGTCACTATGCACAATAAACTGAAAATTCCATATGTGACACTTATGTAATTATACGTAGAGAGTGACGTTATTACTTCCGATTATTTTTATTTCTCTATACTAAAAAATTTTTCTACGTTTTTTTATTAACACATTGTTGACCGGTCACGAGTTAACTCGTGTTTTTATGGCCGAACGTTGCTGACCGGTCACGAGTTAACTCGTGATGCGTTTTGTGTACCATTACACGTAGGTGATTGTTATACTGCTTATCATACGAAAAAGAAATATTAAAAGTTGAATAATAAATAAAATTTATTAAAGTTTATTTTTATTGTTTTACTTCCACTTCCAATTACGAAATAATAGCCGGTGACGTGAGATAAATTTTCAGTAAAATTGCCGGTCAACAATGTGTTAAGTTTAATTCAATCGCTTTCTGTTTGAGAAATTATTTCGCGGCGTGTATTTGTTTCCGTGTGGAAACGAACGAATTCGCACATTTCTGATTTCATACCCGTAAGATTTGGTCTCCTTCCCGCAATCGACCGTCCCGCGCTGCAAGGCTTTCAGGAACTATTTCCGAGATATAAACCTCCGTGTCGGCGTCCTCGCTGCCGGAACCGGAGCTATAACACACCGTTAGCCCGAGCTTCTCGGCACTTCCGGTTTTCCGCAACGTCACCTCCTACGGTATTTCGCAACTGTATTAATGTCCAATGCAGCAGACAATGTTGGATAGAAGGAAACTAAACTATATACTTGTGTTTACACACGGGAGTCTCTCTTACTAACAACGTTAACGCTCTCTCAGGCATTATCACTGTCTGAGAGAAATACATTACGGGAAAACAAGAGAGTTAACGCCACATTCAATCTCTCTCCTGTGTGCCGTTACTCTCTCGAACACGTACAAAATTATATAATCCCGTCAAATTGCCATTTATTTAAAGTCTTTTATCGAGTCTCGTTCATTTTATCTCCCATTTAATTCTGTTATTAATTATTTACCACCATTAGTAACGTGCAGCAACCAGATAAAACGAGATAAAAAGCTAAATAATTTCGAACATTTTCAAAGATCGTTTTGAAAAAAAATCTTCATTAAAATATCATTAACACTATTATATTATTAAAAATGCGCGATTAAAATTATTTTTTCGAACCGAATCATCGTTTCATTTTCCTCTTCGTAACGTTTCATTTTCCTCTTCGTAATGTAGAAATTTGTACTTGATTATCATAAGATATCGAACGGATACCTCAAAGTCGATATCGTGCGCGAGGAAATCCTCAAAACTGTCGTTCGCTTGTTCCTCGACAAGCGGAACCGGAAGCAATTCCTCTTCCTCTATGAGACCGGCCCAGTCGGTTTGAACCGCAGTCGACACCAAAGAAGAACCAGCCGTGTCCTTTTTAACATCGTCGTTGCACGTTCGCTCGTCGATCGTACCGTTCTTCGTTCCCTCGTTTTTATCTTGACACGTAATTTTTTCGTGCTGCTGCTCCTTCGAGGGCGTGTTGGGAATCGGTTGATGCCCGCTCGGCTGTCGTCTAAGAACCTCAACGATAATTGGCTCCTTAGCCGACTGGAAGCAACGCACAGCATCCTCGTGACTAGAGTTCGAAATGTCTTGTCCGTTCACCTAAAAACAGAAAACAACGCGCGCGTTGGAAACACACACACTCAAGAAAATGACAGAAAGTTTTATTCGCTAAATCATCTATCTCGTCAGATATTGAGATTACGTCCTGCACAATTTGTTATATCTTTATTTTTAGAGTTGCAACAAAAATGATTTAGAATTAATTAGCAGGGCGATAATGAGCCATGGCAGGATGTTGTGCCGTAGAAAAATTAAAAAATGTAATTGAGACAGTCTGTAACAGTCTGTTACAAAATACACGACAAACATGACTCATTTGTTTTCTGTAATTGTTTAAGTATTTTGAATTTTGTAATGTTGAGTTATACTGACAAATTTGACAACTCTATAATTAACGATTGATAAGGACTTAAAAAATAAAGTCGAAACGTCTCAATTACATTTTTTAATTTTTCTACGGCACAACATCCTGCCATGGCTCATTATTGCCCTGCTAATTAATTCTATTTATTGGAGTTACCAAAAGGAGCCGGAGGTCACACCTCATTTATCACTTATTTAAAAATGATTTATTATTATTTACAAATTGTTCAATTTTTTTTTTCTTCAATTATGCGAACGACTAAATAATATTTTTAAATTTTAAATTCTTCATCTGAACATAAAGATGACGCAGACCGTCCCTCGCGTCTTGCGCAGCTGATACGTAATCAACTCCGTGTAATTAGTAATTAAGCAAATAAATAATGTCCCGTGTAATGCGCCAGAAATATGACGCGATCAATCATGGAGTATATCAAGTGCGTGTGCTTGCGACCGCGCGTCTCTTCCATAGGGCGAGCGAGCGAATAACAACGGGGGGGGGGTTTCATTTTTCCTTTGCCCCCCTTCCCTTCGTCTCTCTCCGTAGGCGTCTTTAATTAAAATATACGGTTCCCCGAAGGAAACATAGAGACATCTCATCATTCCTCATAATTGCTTCCTCGCGCTTTAATGTCCAATTAAATAAATAACTCGTTGGCGCGAGATGCCGTAGACGACGCCGACGACGAGAGGATGGACAAGAGTAGATGAAGATGCCTACCGCTGGGGGGGGGGGACGACACAAAGATGTCGTCGATCACGAATATAGGCGAAATTAATTAAATGACACGCCCGATGTTCCAAATTAGTGCACGTAGTAGGCCGGTAATTAATTTTCAAGATTACCCACGCGACAAGTGTATTTCCTTACACTTCGGCAAATTGGTTTCTCCGTTTCAAGCGGATTACACGAGATCGTTTCAATCCCCCCAACAAATCACACACAGACGCTATGAAAGAGAACAAGATCTTCTAGTAAATTAAACATTGATATTGTTTACACACGTGTGTAATACAATTATTTGTAATACAATAAATTTGTCATCATTTATATATTTTTATTTTTATATTTTTAATAAAAACAGAGTTGACCTCTCTTTCTTAAAAATAAGAAAAAAACCACATTATATTTGCATCACGTTCAATATTTCGGCGAAATATCGGTTGATTTGAATCAACCAATGGATTTCTATTGTCAATTAATTAATTAATTAATTAAACATTCAATTACACGTTAAATGTACTAATAAATTAATTAGGATTATGGGTATTTGGGTAATTAATTTATAGTAATTAAACATTTGATATATCGCGCGCGACATTGTTCATTAATCGTGGATTGATACGTGTCTCGCGCCCTTGTCGGGCGACGCCCTTATTCGTTCGCTCTAAATTGCTTCCTGGATGGAAGGGCAAAGCAATTAAAATGCGCGGAAGAGCCACGTGAAAAACGCGTTCCGTTCGGACGACGCGGTCAAGGAAAACGAAGAGAGTCTCTCTTGGTCGGTGAAAAACCCCGGTCCCAATATAACCCTCTATTAACTCTAATTCCTCCCTCGAGCGCAGTCATAATGTCCGATCAAACATTTGCCTTCGGTAAGGCCGTGTTTATACCTCCGGCACCAGGTGGCATTTAATTTCGCACTAAGTGCCAGGATTTAAGGATTTGGAGTGGAGAAGAGCAGAGGGGAGGAAAACCGTAACACACTACACGCCAAAGACCCCCGGACGTTTCAATTTGGGGCTTACAAACTGCCCGAGTTTATATATTTCTCCGCGCGGGCTAATGATGGCTCTCCCGTCGTGGATTTCTCTAATCGTGAAAAATCACCCCCCGAAGAGTTTTTTCCCCTCGAGAACTTACGTTCAACACATAAACCCCCGGCGGAGTCTTTATAAATCGTTGCGATGGTTTCGCGATGGTTTCGCGATGGGAAAATTTATACGATGCTACATTCCGGAAAAGTGAAGACAAATAATCTTTAATAATTGAGATTAAGCGAAGGGTGTTTGTGCGAATGACGTTAAAAACTGTCGAGCAATATATACTCATAACTATGATATATATATATATATATATATTACAATTGTGAAGTATTTTTCTAAAAAGTTTTTGTCTAAATCTTTATATTATTTTTGCAAAATATTCAAATTTATTTTGATTAATTTTTTTATATAATAATGTATTTTTATAACACAGATACGTCATCAGTATTATTATATTTTATCATAATATTTAATATAATATTGTAATTATAATTAAGTTTTGTGTACATATAATTTAGTTTTAAAAGAGAAAATGAGAATTCAGCTCATAGATCGTATAGAAATTTGGCTGACCGAGGGATCGTGTTTATTTTGCCGAATATATTTTTATAACACAGATACGTCATCAGTATTATTATATTTTATCATAATTTTTAATATAACATTGTGAATTATAATTAAGTTTTGTGTACATATAATTTAGTTTTAAAAAAAAATGAGAATTTAGCTCATAGATCGTATAGAAATTTGGCTGACCGCGCGATCGTGTTTATTTTGTCGAATATATGAGATTCTAGCAGACCTTATATTGATCGTTATAAAAAAAAAAAAAAAAAAAATTAAAAAAAAAAAAAAAAAACGCACTGTCGACGTGTTGTCAGACGAGGTATTGGTGCTTCGTACGTTGCGGATATTTGTTCGCTCGTTGTGCCGTTCGCGATTGATCACAAAATGGAATTTCTAACTGTTCGCTTGGCTGTTAATTTCGAGCGAAGGGTCGAGAGATTCGCAAACATTTGCACTTTACCGCAATATTGCCGAGTGCTGATCAATTCTTCGTTCAATCAAAACGACGAGATCGAGAATCGATTTTGGAGATTACCGATTGTGATTTTTGTTACCGAACGATTTATAGGGGAGGGGGATAAGGGAATCCTTTCCCTGTGTGTGTTTAATCATTATTTTCGAATTCCGCGGTACTTGGCATCAGATAGAATCGATTCGCGTGAAAAGTATAATATAAGCTGCTCGATATTGAGTTTTTGGCGTTTGTTTATTACTCGTTTTTTTTCGTCATTGTTGTTCTCCGACAAGAGAGATACGAACGAAATCTACACGATATCTGCAATATCTCTTTGCAAAATTATTAATCCTTCGCTGATTTCGTCGTTCGTTACTTTTGCACGCGGTACACGGGGGGGGGATTAATGAATCCGAAGAGAAGACCTCCTTCGCGCGTTGTCCTTTGATCGGTCGTTAAAACCGAGGAAGCGTGACAAATGTTGGCTACGATGTATTCTGTCCATTAAAATTAATGACATTCGCGCGCGCGCGCGCGCGACACCGAGGACCTTCCGAGTTTAACTATTCTCAGCCAGAAATTTCGTCGCTTTGAATTTCCCATCGGTTAGAGACCGCGATTTCGGTCTTTGATCGCCGTAACGCAGATAACGTCGGATCCATCAGTGAGATTCAACAAATTTGCAAATAATTATCGCCCCACGTTTTTTGCCACCACGTCGGTCGCTCTTCTTTCACGTCGCGTGAAAGTCGGCGCGTTTTCAATACCGCGCAACGTAGAAAAATTCTCGCTAATGGGAAAGAAGCTTCCGACTAAGAATTAAGAACTTATAATGCGACGAAGAATGTATCTAAAATGATTCGATAAAAAATCTCATTAACAAAAGCACTTATATACCCCGGTAGAAATTGAAATTAGAAAATGCTCATTATTTGAGCTATCGGTAGGGTAAAAGACCCAATTACCGTCACCCTAAGCTATTTTATTTAAAATATTAAATAAATCCTAAAAAAGTTATGCATGAAAACAATCTAACATAGAATTTTAAGTGCAATTAATATAACAAAAAATCCAGCACTCAACATTTGTGTCTCATTTCTTTCATTTTAGGGGGTGACAGTAATAGCTCTCTCGCATCGTTCTTTTTTAATTATTTAAATTTATAAATAAAAAAAAATAGAGATTTTGAGAGACGGTATTATTTTGTTCCTTATATTAGAGACATCGAATAATAAGAAGAAAAACATATGTTTTTGATAAATAAGTAGTAAAAACAATTCACTAACGCCAGAGTTTATTAATTCAGGTGACAGTAATTGGGTCTTTTACCCTACATGGACAAAAAAATGATGTTGAATCAACAGTATAGGTTTAATTGAAATATATCCTGTTGATGCAACATCAATATTGTTGCACTACACACAGCAGATAGTTGCTTTAAGAATCTAGACATTAAATTAATCGCATACGCAATTGAATGAACTATTTATTTTTGTGGCAGCCCGTGACATCAACTTTAATTGAAGCAACTCCATTTTTTTTTCTGTGTATACAGTCCAAGAAATGGTCGGTTCAATTGTCTTGGTTTAAGATACAAGTGTAACGCGTTTTTTCGATCTAAATTCCATCGTTATTTTATTATTTCTAATTTCATTTTTACCAGGGTATAACAAAATACATAATAACGTTTCGTTAATAACGTAATCGTGTGTTGATATTTTATTAAAATACACGTTGTGACGAGAGAAGAAATACAAATAAGAGAAGCGGATAACATTATGGGAATGAATGTAAGTAAGAGCGGTGTGTAATGTTCACGTCGTTTTTACTTCCTTTCTTTCAAAAAATCAATCATTCCGCTAAAAGAGGCTGCGAGGCGCATCGTTTA